TGAAATATATTTTAATAGCATATTTATTTGATAATGTAGATGCTACCATGTTTTCTATGAGCTTGATTAAAATTAAATAAGTTTGACTTAAAACTAAAACAACTTACAATTAAAAAGTAGGGAGTATCATACTGCCTTGTTCAATTTGTCAAACTTTCATCTCAATGAGTGCACTCCCAATGCGTGAAACTATTAGCAGTTTTTATAACATTGAAAATCGTATCAAGAAACTATCATTCCCAGTGCAAGATTTTCTATAGTACGGAACATAAGTAGTGATAGAAACCATATTTGCTCTCCTAATGGGCTACGAGTAATTTCTTGTCCATGGATAACCGTCAAGACCCAGATTCTTAGTTAGACCTGTTTTCTTGAATTTTTTCGGTCTCTCCTCATTAAATCACTTGCCACATTAGCAAATTGCCTACGTGGCAGTGCAATTAATATCTACAGAAAATATCATAATTTCTGTACTGTGAGTGCCCTAAGAGCCTCAGAGTCCTAGGCCCGTGATCGAGTGGACGCACTTTTCAAGTGAGGGAGAGTAGAGCAGCGTGGTGTTTAAACTGCAGAAATCTCATAAAAAAGAGTTCGGTTTTACAGAAAACACATAAAAGTGGAGGAAAAAAATCTTTCATTCCCAAATTCCAAGCTTGGTGGCAATTGTACAGGCCAACTGAATTGTCAGACATCGGAAATCAAAGCTTGGTGCAAAAAGGGGATAGCCGGATAGATTTGGTTAACGAAAAAAAAATCCAAAAGCTTTTTGAGTCTCAACAATAGATACTGATCTTCTTTCAAAGGGTGCCGCGACTTGCTTATCGATTAAGATGAAAAAAACATTCAGGAAATCACGATGATGGATAAAAAAGAGTGTACAGCATTCCATGGGGTGCCGCGACTTGGCTTATCGATTGAGATGAAAAAACATTCAGAAAAACACGGTGATGGGGAAAAAAAAGACTGTACAGCTTTCTCTCTAAAGAAAAGGACTGTACAGTTACTTTGTAAGTTAGATTAGCAGGAAAAACTACTAAACCCAAACGTTTCGAGTTCTATTTTGAACAGATACCACAGCTGGGCTCATCGACCGAGATGGAAACATTAAAAAAACACGCAATAAAAAAAACACGATGGTGGACGAAAAAGGTGTATAGAAAAAAAAGTAAAAAATGGGCTCATCGACCGAGATGGAAACATTAAAAAAACACGCAATAAAAAAACACGATGGTGGACAAAAAAGGTGTATAGAAAAAAAAAGTAAAAAATGGGCTCATCGACCGAGATGGAAATATTAAAAAAACATGCAATTAAAAAACACGATGGTGGACAAAAAAGGTGTATAGAAAAAAAAGTAAAAAATAGGCTCATCGACCGAGATGGAAACATTAAAAAAACACGCAATAAAAAAACACGATGGTGGACAAAAAAGGTGTATAGAAAAAAAGTAAAAAATGGGCTCATCGATCGAGATGGAAACATTAAAAAAACATGCAAACATTAAAAAAACACGCAATAAAAAAACACGATGGTGGACAAAAAAGGTGTATAGAAAAAAAAAAGTAAAAAATGGGCTCATCGACCGAGATGGAAACATTAAAAAAAACACGCAATAAAAAAGCACGATGGTGGACAAAAAAGGTGTATAGAAAAAAAGTAAAAAATGGGCTCATCGACCGAGATGGAAACATTAAAAAAACACGCAATAAAAAATAAAAAACACGATGGTGGAAAAAAAAGAGGGTGCATAGAAAAAAATAAAGTAAACAAATAGGACATGCAGGTCGACGAGAAAAAGAGCCTATATATAAAAAAAAGGGCCATACATTGCAGGTCGACGAAAAAAAGAGTGTGTAATATAGCAAAAAAACAAACGTTAAGGATAGCGCCCAGGCATCCGGCCTCAGTGCTGCATCTGGATGTAGCTTCTGTTCGATGCACCTGCTACGCCCCGTCTCGTCTCCCACATCCGCCACGTGTAAGAGCCCGCCCGTGTCACCACGTCGTGATGGCTCCCGTGCGACAGCGATGGCATAGGCGAGCATGCCGTTGATTAGGAGCAGTGCGATGAGGAACCACTCTAGGGCCGCGTACACCAGTGCGGACGCCTACGCGTCCTCCGGTGTAGCGCTGCCGTCAGCTTACAGCTAACACCGTCATGGCTCCATAGCTCTCTCTTTCTCGCTCGACCATCCTACATTGATCGAGATCTACTTTTGCAACATTATACCCTGGCCCACAATGAAGAAATGTAACCACGAGTCCGGGAGGGCATGCATGGATCACCAATTCACCACGAGCGAGAGACGTGCGAGGTTAGAACAATATGGTCAGTGGTGGTAAGCCACTCCTGTCTGCACTGCACGCCGCTGCACAAGTCAAAGACAAAGCTCCAGCTAGCTAGGGGGTAAGAGTTAGGGATGAAAACGGACTGAAATGGGCGGGAAAATGCTTGTCCCTTTTTCGTTTCTATATTTTTAACGGAAACAGACCGGAATCGAGAAAAAAACAAAATTAAAAACGTATGGAGATATACATAAATATAGAAATATGGATGGAGAGTCAGAAAATTAAGTTAGAATAACATGATCAAATATTCTCCATGTACAAAGTCATAAAACAATATACACATACAAAGTTATCGGTCCAATATTCACTAGCATGCCATGTGTTAACACGTTAACATGCATAATTGGTGATCAGTAAGTTTATGAACATATTAATTTCTAGGCATATCTCACATGGAAAGAAAATGGGATGAAAAACGGACTAAATACGGGTCAATTTCAGATAAAAACGGGATTCCACAGAAACGGACGAAAAAAATCCTCTTCTGTTTCCGTATGGATCCCACAAATACAAAAATAGGCGGAACAAAATAGAAAACGGGTCAGAACGAAATCAAGCAAAAAAAAAAGAGTGTAACACAGAAAAAAAAAAAAATGAACCAAAAAAGTGTAATACATAGAAAAAAATATATAAAAAGTGGCCCATGCAGGTCTCGAACCTGCGACCTTCGCGTTATTAGCACGACGCTCTAACCAACTGAGCTAATAGGCCAGTTCAGTATGAGGCACTATACCATGCTATATATATATATATAAATATAATATAACAAATAACTCTAATAAAAGGCATGCATAGATCGATTTTATTATTTTTTTGGAAACATCGATTCGATGGACACCCTCACCGCCGCTGGGTTAACAGCCGGCCAGCCGGGACTGGGGCAGACGGACGCAGGCCGCACCACCCTACACACGGACACACACACACACAGTATGGAGTCGGAAGGTTGTACGCCTGAACGTGCCGTGGTCCACGCCGCTCGCTTCAGAGCGCAGGGAGGCCCTGCCTCGCCACTCGCCAGTTGCGTGACCGCCAGCCCCCAGCCAAGCCACCCGTCCCGTCAGTCTGCCATGCGCCGGGGAGTGAGTAGGGGAGCGCGCATCGGGTCGACCGGCACGTGAACGCGGCGGTGGTCCGGCCCCTGCTACCACCTGCTCGTGCCTCGGTAGCGAAGCTTTCTTCAGCCGGTGCCGCTTTATCTAGTAGAGCTACGGGATACGTACGTGTACTAGGTTAGCTACCACGGCAACATGCGTTGCATGTACGTGTGATCGGTACGTCCTCTGCTGTGTGTGTGTACTGTGTGGTTGCGATCGCGACTGACCATCGAGCGAGCATCCCAATTCTCTCAAACCTCTCCCCATTAACAGCAGTTTGTTGTGTTTTTCTATATGGTTCGGGACTTGAGGCCGGCCGGGCAGCCGGTACCACGAATGAGAGAAACACATGTGAGCATCAACTAGTCGTACGGCGTGTTTCAAATACTGATGGCCTGATCTTGCCTGCGCACACAGTCGGCAGGGCACGGCTTGCAAAGTTGCAAGAGGGGGTTTGCACTTGCAGTCTTGCACACTTGCACTTGTCGGGGACGCGCTTGACGTGCAGCCGCACCTAGAAGAATCTGTGACCGCCGAGCCCTGCCCGAGAGATGCCGTGCGCGTGTGTGCCGCATGTGCGCAGCGCCACCACTTCTGCTACAATACTCCTCCTCCGCTATCCTACTGTAACAAGTACCTACTGTATTATTATTATTATTATTATTATTATTATTATTATTATTAATTTAAAGGCATATAATCGCTTGCGCTTGCAAAGTTACAACCGCTTCTGTACATCCGGGAGCTTTTGCAGAGGCACTGCAGGTGCCTCGCGTTGAGAAACCGGCTGGCCCGTGTTGTTTATTGTGTGTAACAGAGCAACGGTCGTCAGCGCGCGACGACCGATCTGGCGTGTAGCGCAAGCACGATCGGTGCAAATCCAAGTGTCAACAGACAGAGTAAAAAACCAGGGACAGTGTAGTACATTACAGTGCCTAGCGGTTTGAAATAAAAAACCAATTCTTTTCATGGAAATGCCAGCGCTAGTTCTGATCTGGTTTGTATCGTAGAATCCCTGGCATGGAACCGCATGGCACATCATGAAATTGGTATGGTTGTTGTCTTGTTGATTTTAAAAAAACGGTATATTTTTCTCATTCTAAACAGTGGTGATGATGAAATATATACTGCAAACATATACTCGATGGGGTTCACGTATTGCTTGTTACCGTTGTCACCAGCTCAGAAATGCCACGGTGTCTTCTTATGCTCGATGTCTCAACACTTCAACAGGCCACGCAGACGCAGGAGGAACGGGGCGAGGATGCTGACGAACATCCAGTCACGGTCTAAAGCTACTAGTTTCTCTAGAACAAATCCAGGGGAGAGGGCGAGGGAACAAGTGTTTCTAGAGCTTCTACGATTGCAATGGCGTTTTCCAGGGACGCTTTCGGTGCCGTTTATTCAACTATGACGACATGCCTAACAGAATTTCATGTCATTTCAGTCTGCCATTTACGACCGATGCCATGGCAGTATGCCACGCTCATTTGGACCGCGCGCACCGAGATTCTACAGTAACCAACCCCGCTACCCTGACCGAATTTACAGTAACTACGATTGGGATACCCATGCCCTAGCTGCTGCAGCTGATATTGCTCTCCTCACTGGCGCTGCCGCTGCTCTCCTGCTGCCGTCCGCGTTGCAGCTGTCACTCTGATTGTTCTCTTCCGCCGCGCGCCACGCGGACGCCGAGAAGAGCGGCCGCCCGTGCCAGCCCAGTGTCAGGCACCCCTCGGCCTCCTCCACGCAGTGTCCTTCCCCGGAGAAGAGCCCCACCAGCATCCTCGCCTGCCGCAGCGCGTTGGCCCCCAGCGGCACGGCGGCCAGCCCCGCCCCCGCGCGGGGGCCTCCCAGCCTGTCCCGCCACCGCCGCAGCGGCTCGTGCCGTTCCCTGCGGTCCGCGCCCTCGCCGCACACGATGTCGCAGATCTCGAGCTCCAGGTACGCCTCCGCCGCCGCGTCGCCCGCGCCGCCGCTGGCGGCGTCCAGGGAGTCGAACACCGCCGAGTAGTAGAAGAGCGCCTCCGTGAACCGGTCCAGGAACCCCGGCTTGTTGTGGTCGGCCTCCTGCTCCACGACCGTGAACACCCTGGGCCGCACGGAGGCGACGCAGTCGAGGACGGCGTCGATGGGCGCCCGCGGCCGCGCGTCGTCGGCCGAAGGGTCGTCGGCGAGGAGGCGGTGGAGCTGGAGCACGGAGTTGACGGCGACGGCCTCGCCCTGCGACACCTGCAGCATCCAGGGGCGCACCTCGTCGAGGCGGTTGGCGGCGACGCCGCGGAAGGAGAAGTGGACGCGCACGGAGCGCGCGAGGTCGGCGAGGCGGACCCCGACGTCGCGGAGGTCGTCGCGGCCGGGCGGGGAGGGCGGGCCAATGCCGGTGAGGCGGAGCGACGGCGGCCCGCCGGGGCGGAGCGCCAGGGCCTGGATCAGCGCGGGCCACTGGAGGCCCTGCATGAGGCTGAAGTCGATGATGTGGACGTGCCTGCAGCCCTGGACGGCCTCCAGGATGGCCTGGTTGGCCGTGAAGTGCGCGAACTTGAGGTACGGCCCCGCCTCGTAGAAGCGGTGGTAGAGGAAGGCTCCGTCGGCGACTTCGGCGGCGGGCGGAGGCGAAGGCGTGGGAGGAGAGAACAGCCGGCGGGACAGCGCGGCGGTGAAGTGGACGGCGACGCGGCCGATGCCGGAGGTGGGCGACACGGCGGCGAGCGCGGCGTGCGCGTCGGCCAGGTGCGCCGACGCGCCCGCGTGGTCGCCCGCCTCCACGGCGCCGGCGCAGCTCATGAGGAGGTGCACCAGGCGGATGCCCGCGGCCTCCTCCTCCTCCCGCCGCATCGCCGCCAGCGCCGCCGCGAAGTCGGGCAGCGCCTCCATGTGCTGCATCGCGTGCATGTACGTCGCGGCGTCCGCGTAGTACGCAGCAGCAATCCCGGCGGCGTCGGGCACCGCGGTGGGCAGCGGAGGCAAGGTGACGTCGTCGAGCCCAGCATCCGCGGGCTCCTCCGGCCACTGGAAGGGGAACGACGCGCCGCCCATGGCCATGGGTCGGTGAGAGGGCGTGGCTCGGTGGCGTGCTCTGCTCTTCTGTGAAGCGGTCAGCAGAGTGACGGCTTCGCGCTTGGCGGGCGGGCGGTGAGTGATGTGCTAGAGCCTAGACTAGAGGGGAGTGGGTGAGGTGAGGGGCTGACGATGAGTCGATGACGACCGGGTGGGCGCGGGTGCGGGGGCGGGGGCGGGGGCGAGGGTTAAGGTGCGGGGAGGGAGGGCCGGAGGTGCGGTGACGTCGGAAACGCCGGGGGAGGTCGGTTACACGTGGAGAGGCGGGCAGGAGCACGGGGCGGACGGGGACACGTAGGCCTCGGGAAGGATTCAGAGGCGCCGTGGGGGCGGCCCTGCCTGCTCCTCCTGTCAATTCCTGTTTCCTCATCTTGTCTGTGGGGATCTCGCTCGTATGGGACTGGGGAGGACGGAGCCACGGAGGAGTGTGCGGTAACTGCACACGGATTTTACTCGTATAATACGACACAAACTGAGGACGAGAGACAGTACGTAGAGATACCAGGGGCACCCCGTGGGAAGTTTCCTCACTGTTTGGCTCTCTACAACCTTCCTTCTCAAAGTATAGTAAGGGGAAAACGAGTGGCCTCAGCACAATGACGCGGCAGGTTATTGTTCGTAGATTTTTGGTTTGGCCTCGAGTCTATGTTTACATGCACATCAATGCCTTGTTTTATATCTAACATTAGAGAACACAGGTTTCATCAGATATATTGATGCTTGGTTCGTTGACAAAATAGTTATATGTGATGCTTTCGTATAGTCACATGTTCAGTTATATAGGGTCACTATTGTAGTGGGCACTTTGTTCTCTAAATTGTCTATCTAAACAGATTTGGTCATGGCAAAATTATGTTGGTGGATTGCCCAAGTAACCGAGTGGATCCATTGAAATGTTGGTAACTACTACTAGTATCCATGATAAGCAAAGAAATTACAGGCAACTCTTTACAGATCTTTCGCACGGCAAATCAATATTGGCAAACACTTAATGATGGTCATATCTTGATTTTCCTTAGGTCCAGAGGATATAATCTTATTGCCCCGCTTCACCATTGTTGTACCTCGAAGCTCTAGTAAAAAGGTAGAGACATCTCAAATCAATGCCAAATTAGATTCTTGAAATCGGCCTCCACTTCTTGAATCGAACTCCTACTCGCTAAAGTCGTGGATTTCTAAGTCCATGGTCGCTGAAAAGCCTTGCCATTGCTTGTGGCTTCGAACATGGAGATATGAGTTGAGGAAAGGGATGCAATTACAGTCGGAGAGAGGTGGGATCAGATTTGAATAGCCTGACATCTAATTACAATGTAACAGAATATAGCCAGACTCGAAACAATAAACACATTTCTTACCTCTTATCTCTTCGCAATGCATTAACGTTACATATCTTGAACCAAACGCTATCTTAACTCAAGTGTGTCTGTAACTGTAAGACAATGAAAGGCATAACCAGTCAACCACTGTGAAGTGTGTATTGGTTAATAGTTGGTTAGATGAACGCAAATATAAGATGCTAAACGTTTACGCTATGGTTCTGCCAATCAATCACACAAAGAAATTCGACTAGACACATGGCACATCAAAGACTTTTCAATTTTGTTATTTGGTTGGTTTACCGATGATAAAAGCGCAAGGCTGATCTTGATTTGTTGTGAGAGAAAAATCTTTATCTTATGGTGATAAGTCCTGGTACCGAAACCAACAATGAGCAGCGCTCTTTGTTTCACATCGAGCATAGACCATACTTTGTCGGATACGTGGATGTTTGTTCGCTGTAAATACACTTCCCTGCAACCTACTCAATTTAACTCCATCGTTGTTGTGGTGAGTGGTGACGAACATTTTATTTTCAACATATTATCTAATTAATTTGATTTTGTCATGGAAAAGTTATGCCTATTTGAGACAATTAATTGACTCAATTGTTAGCGAATAAAGGGTAGGCAATTATTTACAAATCAACAACTGCTTCGCGACCGTCCACCATCCTGCAATATAGTTTATAGACATTCAAAAGTGTACCCAAATAGAATGGACTTTTTTTAGGGGTGTAGGGGGGTATAGAAGGACAAATCAATACTGTACTTACCATTTATCAAACAATCTCCTTTACTCACGCATTCAAGCGGATGACAACATCTATACATGTGGAAATTAAATTGATTAGAAAATGTGGTGAGGTTACATGCATCTTTTATAATTTTTGTCTTGATCCGTCTCAAAATATCTTGTGAGAATATACTATATTATAGAACAAAAGGAATGTGTTATATTGAGAATATGCAATTTAATAGGAAGGAAAACAAATAGAAACGTTGGACAGAAATTATCATTAGATGAGATAGGAATATGCTCCATGGGAGTCCTAGATTATTGTAGAAACACAAGCATGAGAGTGTGTACCTTCTATATTGCTCAATCGGTCTCTTGTTTAGCAGCTCTAGTTCCATCCTTATCTTGAAAGTTAGTGACGACCGTACCCCGTGTTTCTCATCCACGCACTTGCCAATTTGCCATGACCCGTGGTTGTCAACCAAGTCCTAAGTCCACACTACCCACCAGTAGTGTGTCCCTAGAAGAGAAAAGCATTGATGTGCTCATCTTTGACGTTGGCGGTTATTCTGTACAAAAAGCACTAAGACTGGTATGGTCAATTTGCTTCAGAGAAAGCTCAACGTGTCAATGACACATTCGTGACGAGTATCTTATCACAACTGAACCTTTTTTTTAGATGATGATCAAGAGGAAAAAAGGTAATTAAATATTAAAGTTTGTGAGGTATTTGAAAGTTTATATTGTTCCCACACAAACAATATCTACGCATCTCCTAATTTTTTTTTGAGTGTAACGGGAGGGGTCGCCCCCTACTGGGATTTTATTAAAATTTAAGTAGCACGTTACGTTCATTTTCTCCATAATAAGGATTAGAATTCCCATTTTTCTTTTTTGCTGAGAACCGCAGGTCTTTGATACAGTAATCATCATACTTATTATAATGTTAAGAAGAGATCAAATACAAGAATTCACGAGTACACTTTATATCTAACGAGAGACCAGTAGTAATACAAATACACATTGGGTCTCCACTAAAAAATTACATACCGGTCTTTTCCGTAATCCCCCTTTTGCGGGCCCACTGAGCAGAAATTTGGTCATGCGGGTCCAGGGTCACAGGAGGGGCGTTCAGGTCGTTAGCCTCGGATGCATGCAGCCTGTGGTCCAAAAGGGAAGGGCAGAACAGAAATGAGGGCTGGACTGGATCAGGTGGTCCGGACGCGTCGTTGCACGGGGGTATCCTATCCCCCCTCACTCCTCTACCTTGCAGCACTGCCGAAAGCACAAGCTCACCTAATTAAGCTCATGCAGGCTTGTCATTTTGGCACACACATAGACATGCCGTACCGGGGAGCACATGGCACCAACCGAATAATTTCAGCAACCGTCCGTCTCCACATCTGAAAACCCAGTCACGGAAACAGAGAGCTTGCTTTCTATCTATCGAGCGAGGGATCTGTGAAACGTTTCCTCTCTCCGTTTTCTCCTCTCCTCTGGAAAAATCAGAAAATGACGCTGCACGGAAGAGCAGCCGGTGGCAAGCTAGGCTGGAAGATGCTCCCGTCAGCGTCGAGCAGCGATGGTCCCCGAGACCTTTTTTTTTGGCGTGCTGCACGGCCGGAACGGAACGGCCCTCCTTGCTGTTGCTTCAGCCAGTCGGTTGCGGCTTTCTATCTTGGACAGCGCCGGCCGTACGTGAAGATTTCCATTATTCGAGAGTCGAGCGTGTAGCGAGGGCTTGATTTGTAGTGCAAGTTTCGGAGCAGGCCGAGTTAGGTGTGCTAAGTCTATCGACTTGCCGTAAAACCGTGCGGGCGCTTCTAACTTTGCCCGTGACTCCGTGAAGGGTCGCCATCGGTCTTGACAAAACGGAGAGCTGCTGCTGACTTTGATGAATTAGACTGTCTTCCACGGGATCAACAAAGTATCTATACAGGAGACCTATTTTGAGTGGTAGAAGAGGTATAACCTAAATCTAAGTATCATCTCTCCTGGAAATTCATTCGTAGAAAGAATTCTCTTTTGTGTCTTGTTGTTGGAGAAGACGAAAAATAGGTATCGAAATATTTGCCTGCAGCGCTATCCAAACGCGAAACGTGTCTTGTATTTGGGTTTCCATTGTTGGAGATATTCTTCGAAAGGTAGAGACAAGAAAATCACCTCCCACACGAAGGGAAAGCTACCTCTTCCAGACGTAAGAAATAGAAAAGCACTGCCGGAAAACGAAAGACCTCCATCAAAATTCGCGAGCGGCGGCCTACTGACACAGCGGCAGGCACCAGTCGCGAGCGGCGCGCCGGCGAGATAACCAGTGAGTGAAACATGACCAGACGAAGCAGCATCAGCTCGACTGTTGTGCTAATCCTGAATACGAGTAGTAGCAGTAAGCATCACTCAACCTGTCGTTACTGAGCTAAAAGCGCATGTCCTATCCGAGTGTGAGATCAAATAGGTGCCGAGTAGCGTCACGGCGCACGACGCCATTGGTCATTGGTGAACTAGTCATCTATCCGTCCATGCTTTAACGATAGGAACAGTTCTAGCTTAGGCTAGGCTTTTGCCAAGAGATGTGACCTTATGTCGTCAGAACAATCGGTGTACCTGTCTGAGTTAGGCCCCATGGGTTATTCAGGCCTTCTTTGCGACGAACAAAAAGTGACGATGCTGGTCGGATTTCATTGTTTTCTTAACAACGTAAATGTAGCACGAGACATGTTAAATTTGTATTATATAGAAGAGTTAAAGGCCTAGGCCTTCTTAACGTAAAGCTAGCACGAGCCACGTGGGTTATTTCAAACTTTTTATACGTTTTGCACATGCATTACAAACATATCTTTTTTTTTCTCAAGTATCTTTGAAGTGGTGCATTAGAATATAATAAAATCTGATTTCATAATTTTTCAGGGAATGTAAAAGGAAGTATAAAA